GATTGAGGTTTGTCTGCTCTGCAACTTTCTTGGAAAAAGAGAAAAGATCTGCTCCAAACCCACTAGGTGCTGGTGGTCTCTGCCTTGCGAGTGAACTGATCTAGGAAGCCTGTGAGTTAAACTTCCCAGCAACCGCGCTTCTGTCTTCTCCCAAAGAAGATGAATGTCCTGCTATTATATCTGCAGCTACAAACACTTCTGTTGGTTAATGACTGTATATACAAGTCTGCCTGCTTTAAGACTTTTCCTTTTCATAAAGTGTTTTTGATTGCTCTGTTCTGCAAATGGCTCTCCTCTTCCATATTTCATCCGCTTAGATGCTCCGTAGCCGTGTGTGTGTTGCTCTTGTTCGTAGGAGATGGAGCTATAGCTCTCCTTCCAAGGGAGATACATGCCACTGAGCCTACAAAAGTCAAATAGTTGGAGATGTTTTAACCAGCGGGCTTCTTACCGTGGACTTTGAGACTTCTAATAAACGTGTCCACTGGACTCTCCATGAAGAAATATGTTCCTGCCCTCCCAGCAGGACCACTTGTTGGGTATTTATCCAGTAGAACTCTGTATTTGTATATTTTACAGATGAAGACCATTTGATCAGAGCCATGGGGCAAATAGAGAACTTAAAATCCTGACTCCTGCCTTAAAACTTTTAGTTCATCTTGAGCTCCAAAAATTCTGCACCTGCTCGCTCCCAAGTCCCTTTTTTCTTTAGGAAATTTGAATCCAGTCAAAGGCTGGAGACAATTTAAGGAAATTTAAAACAAAATAAATTTTAGCTGATGGCTTTATTAAAATAACTAACTGGTCTTGTATTAAAAACCCTATTTGTGCCTCTCTTAAGTCCAGGGAATGTTTAAAAAGCGGAGGTGGCTTTTGAGCAATGATTGAAATGACTGCATTAGCTGGCAATTTGTAAGACACTTGCTTTCGTATGCTCTGAGCAAGAGACTTCGGTTTGTGTCCTCTCTGCCTCATGGTAATGGCTTTCAAAGATGGCTGGTACCATCAAATTTGTACTTCTTGAATAAATATCTTCATTTTTATGGTAAAACTTTTTTTGTATGCGGTTTGTTTGTGTGTGCCATGTAACAAACATTTGTATTACGTAGGATACGGTGCTAGGTTTGGTACTGACACAGAAAATACACAGCTCCGACACGCAGTGAAACAAGGACGAGGGGATTCCAGTGATGTGACCCTTTTTTTTCCCCTGTAACTTCGACAAAATCTTTTAGAATCAAGTATACCAGCTGTGTAAAACATGCTTTTTAACTTTTTTCCCCTCCCTGGCTCCTTCAGTCAATGAGGAGGTCTAGGCCAATATAAAGATGCTGTGAACATCAGGTAATTTTTAAAATGCATCATGTATTTTTATGTTGTACCTCTGTTTCTTGGTTGACATATCGCAGTAGTGTGTGCACATGTTTTTAATCAACTGCAAAGCACAAGTAGGTTGTCTTTAGACTGTTAAATTATGTGATTTTTTTTTTTTTTAAACCTAGGGAAGATCTTTTACCATTGAGAGCAAACCATCATGAACTTCTATCAGAAATGCTGTACAAAATTTCCTGTATTTAAAAAAAAAGAAAAGATAAACCTTATCCCCCCCTGCATTTAAAAAATAAAAATAATCCTGGAAATGCCATGCCTTAAGAAATAAACTCAGTGTTGTTTTTCTTTTCAAATTTCTTCAGTAGGGCTTTTAATTCCGAGCTGGAGCTCTACAGCTTTTTCGTTACCTGTCTGATACCCTAGAGACACGTTTTGGTGATAATTTCGGTGTGTGACAACGTTTTCTCTTGCAAATAAGGTGTGCAGCCCGTGGAGAACGCGGGGCCTGGAGACGTGCTCAGGCGTCCAGCGAGACCCTCCTCTCCCTCCCCGGAACCTCCGCTGCGCGAACACTGCCAAATAATGGATCTGTGTAATTGCCCTCTAATTACATTAACTGACGTGTTGTCTTAATTCAGGTCACCCCTTTCACAGTCTTGATTAACTACCTAATGTGTCAGAGGAGTAGGAATAATTTTTTTCTTTTTTTTTTTGGTAGGCCGCTTTGGTCTAATGTCATCACAGCTAAACATTTCAATTTATTTTTTTTTTTAATCTTGAGATAATTTCATGGTAGAATTTATGATCTAAGTTAAAAACAAATAAGCATGTGATTTTCCTGGAACTTTTAAACTTTTTCCCATAGATTCCTTTTATATGTGTGAGTGTATATAATCTCTTTTATATATACATATTCCCTTTTGTGTGTGTGTATATATATATTTATATATGTAAAATTACTGCTGCAAAGACTTGTTTGTAGCCATTTGTTCTGACCCGTGAGACAACCCTGCTTCCACCTCCCCCAGCATAGGGAAGTTCTCAGAGCTGATGTCCTCAAAACACCAGGATTAGAGAACTCTGTGTGATCTTTCTTCACCCATCTTCTCGTTGACCCAAGTGTGGTGGCTTGTCAAGCAGTGGGAGAGCTGTGTGTACCCTCTCCACGCCACACCAGGCTGTCTCTGGTCTGCAGCTGTAGCATGTTTTGGTGTATGAAATGGGCTGGGGAACGCCAGGCTGACTGTTGACCTAAGCCAAAACCTAAGCCTGTTCCAGGGCTCTGCCACCCTCAAAGTAAAGAGGTTCCTCCTCATATTTATCAAAACATCAAGGTAACTAAGGCACTGAGCTCCGCAAAGAGCAGCTCGTTGTGTTCTCTCTTCCCCTGAATAATCCCGGGATGTTGGGATTTCATCCCTGTAGTTTGTTTTCTCTGGCCTGGGAGCAGTTGCAAAGGCCCGGGAGGTGGGATGTCACCTTACAGCCGTGCCCAAACCTCGCTTCATGGGAGGTCAGTGGCAGCGCCTGGAGATTGGAATTTTCTGTGCTAATTAGTCCAGTATGCTGTAGCCGTACTGCTTCGTTAGGGCAGCTCTCTAACGGCAGCGAGTTTGGATGTGATGCCCTGTGTGTAAGGTGAGAGGGGGGAAATAAATTCACGGGATTGCTGTGCCCAGAGGGCAAACAGTCAATATTTAGCAAGAGAAACTAAACAGCCTCTCTTGCTTTCTCTCCACATGGACTTAATTAGGTGGTTTCGTTAACAAAGCAAACAGCATTTCCTGTGGCTGGGCTGTTCCTCGGGAGCTGCCCCAGCCCGGAGCACACACAGAGGGGGGGATGCAGAGCGGGGAGCTGCCAGCACCAGTGTCCCTGCCCTCACAGACCAGTCTGCCCCATTTCAAACCAGTCTCGCTTTCTGGGGGTGAAACAGCAGCACTGGGGAGGAGGGCAGTGCCTAACCCTGCGTGTGAGGCAGGGGACAGGGGGAGGCTGTCTCCAAAATCCCCAGGTGATACAGCTCTTGTGGTGCTCGGGGGAGATGGTAATGGGAGCACCCAGCTGGGTCCTGGGGAGACTTGTGAGCTGCGAGGCCGAAGTCCAAGATGCATCAGTCCTTCCTCCTCCTCAGACACCAGTCTCCTGTGCTCACCCTGGCAGTGGAGAAAACAGAATTGCTTTTCTGCAGCACTTCAATTTATTAATTTTCTACAAGCTCAGTGCATCTCTCTGGCAGTTTTAAGCTGAGCCCAGGGGGACAGAGAAGCGAGGCTTTTTGTTCCCAGCTGGGTAAAGGGTTCTTGTTAGCCCGTTAGGAGCTCGCTGATCCTGCTGGGAGGCTGTTCATGGTCCCTCTCCTCTTGTTGTTGTTGTTTGTCAATGCAGAAGACTCGAAACGACTTTAATTCCCTATAGTTCAGTTGCTAGTTTTGGAGAGGAGGTAGATCCCCAGCTTAGCAAGGCAGCCCTGCCCGATGTGAACAGTTATTTTGGAAAAGGACCCCGAGCCCAGGCTCTCATCCTCTTCCCCACCTTCCTCCAGTTTCCCGACTGACTCAGGAGAAATTGGTTTGCGCTGATTGCCTCTGGCTCATCCCGAACATGTTACGGGCTAATGGGGCACCTCCCCTGGCACACGGCTGTTTCTCAGCCATTGGTAATGACTTGCAGATGTTGGAGTGATTCACAACAGCTGGAGGTAGGGGGGGGTGGATGGGGGGTGGAGCGAGGTGCCTTCACGGCTGTGTCACAGCCATTCTGCTCCTGCTTAACGTGGCCTTTTAATCAGGCAGCCCGGAGATGAAAGGAGGGGATCAATGCGAGCAGGGCTGAAATGGGTTATTCCAGGAAACTGCTCCAAAGGCATTAGGGAACTATCTGCAGCCCCCGAGCAGGACGGAGGCTTTGATACCTCGCTGCGCCGCTAAACCACACAGGAAACAGGCTGCGAGCCCTGCAGGGCTACAGGAGAGATGCAACGGCTGCCTGTAACAAATAATTGAAGAGGATACTGGTGGTGGAACACAAAGGAGGAGAATTATCAATAAAAATAATAACTCGGGAACCGAGCAGCAGAAAGGAAGGGGAAGAGAAGGGATCTCCCTCGGTTACTAATGGCTGTCTTGCTAAATGTGCTCCTGGAGTGTGCTGAGATGCTGAAGTCACGAGGACGGTGTGAAGCTGTGAGGGACATAAGAGATGTCTGCAGTCTATTAATGACTGATTCCCTGCCATTGTAGCTGCAGGTGGTCGTTAGTCAGAGAGCACTTCAGAGCAGGGAGGGATTTGAAAGGGCACCAGTGACCAGGCGGGGACAAAGGTGGGCTGGTGGCAAAAGCATAATTGGCAAGGGCT